ATATCAGGAGCAGACTGGGAAATAAAATAAGAGTTAACAGCAATCATCCTTTCATGAGAGTCTGGGTTCACATTAGTAAACTTAATTAAGGTTTCCTGAAGCTGATTTAGGAACACAGCTGGGTTTTCATTAGGCCTGGACCTGTTCTAAAAGTTTGTTATAGTTAGTGTGTTTGTGAGCAGTCTTATTAAGGCCCACAAACAGACACTCAATTATTTTATGTAATTTTGTCAAACCTTCACCGTTTTGATAGTTCCAGTTAGGATCTTGTTCTGGCACAGCTGCAGGCCCAGGGTCATTATCAGCAGTGTTTCCCTTATGTCTGCAATCAGCTTCTTCTCGAGCTGCCTGCCACAGCTGAGTTCACTCTTGTGAGCTGAGAGTGGTATTTACAATCACATAAACATCCTTAAAATGTAAATCATAACAATTAGTAATAAATTCAAATTCCCTGATATAATTCTGTGGGTCAACAGAGAAGCTACCTAATTTATGGGTAATCTGAGATAAGTCAAAAAGGGAGAAAGGCACATGTATATTAACAAGTCCCTCAGGGCCAGCTTGCTCCTGAAGTGGTAGCAGAGATTGAGGAGAAGGTTGTGGAGTAGATAGCCATTGGGCAGCCATCTGTCCAGTAGGTGTGTGTGAGCAATTATCTGTAGAGTGGCCACAAAGTGGCTGCCAGTTACCCTGGGACAAGGAAACACTGGCAGATGGCGTCTCACTGTGTGCCTTGCAGTGACGAAATTTGCCGTCCGCAGCACAGTGAACCATCATGTGGTCTGCAACAGGGTGGCTGTTGCTGATCACAAGAGGAGCCACAAGGGGGCAGTCATTGACCATGAGATCCGTCCCAAGATGGCAGCACCCTGTCATGTGGTGGAGGGCTGCAACATGGCAACCATTCCCAGCTCAAGCTGGAACAGTCACGCGGCTTGCCAGAAGGAAACAGTGACCGAGACCTAGTATGGTGGGCTGGAGGTGAGAATGCTGTAGGGGACAGAGAATTCTCAGGAGAGTAAGAAGTCAGAGACTGCGAGGAAGCGCTAACAGAGGGATTGGAGCCCCTGGGAGTATTACGGGCTCCAGGAGAGGGAGGGGAAAATGATCACATGGTGGGGGATAACTGCGACACAGAGGGATTAGAGCTGCTGGGAGAATTAGGGGTTGAGGGAGGGGAAGATGGTTGCATGGCGAGAGCTAATGGCAAGGAATTTGGGGGTAGCCGGGCCACAGCTGATAAAAAACTGGGGGTACTTCATCAAGCGGATCATGAGGGTGGGAGGGGAGAGTTCATGGTGCAGCAGAGTTAGTGAAAAGTATCTGGGTGGGAGTACAAGATTTAATGAGAGATGGGCGTGTTCTCAGAACAAGAAAAGCCTGTACATAAGGGATCTCTGTTAACTTGTCACCGGCCTGGCAGAAATTGTACAGATTTTTGAGAATATAGGGGTCAAACATCCCCTCTCTGGGCCAAGTGTTGCCAATAAGTGGGTAGGTTGGCCAAACCTCCTGGCAGTAAAAAGTTAATCGTTTAGTTTTTATGGTGCTTTTAGTCTTAAGAGTATGAAGATTGGAAATTAGGCATTGTAGAGGCGTCTTTTGGGAATTAGAAAAAACGTTTCCCATGACTAATTCAGGCAAGAAACAAGCTGTGGTCTGGAGGGTGAGCCATCACTTGTCCTGTGGCACCAAACAGTGGTTAGGGTCCAAAAACTCACATATTCCAGTCATCACTGAGAGACTTACGAGAGGAGTCCACGTGGGGTCAGTAACAGTTCTGCCCGTGAGAGAGTGACGCTCTGAGGGATGTGAGGGTCTCAAAGTGTGGGCGGTCCAAAAAGCTCTACCTTGGGCTATCTGAACCCAAAGGATGTGAGAGATTTTCAAGTGTGGACGCAGGTTGCCCAGAAAGACCCTGCCCTGGGCTGTCTTAAGGATGTGAGAGCTTCACGAACCCACACAAAGGGAGAGAAAACTCACCTGGGGCCAAGCCCAGCGCCAAGAATTCTCTGGAGCTTGCTCACCTGAGATTAATTGGGCTGGTGTTGTGTGTGAGTGGTTGGTGACAAGTCAAGCAGGTCCTGGGAGAGGAAAATCGGAGAAGTAATCCAGGATGTAATCCGGTTCGTGAATCGGCTGGGGACTCAACTGGGTGTGTCCCAAGAGCCAATCGCCTGCCGATCGAGTCACGGCACCAAATGATAAGATTATATCCAAAAGATGAGAAGTATAAAACAAAAGAGGCCTTTATTCTGAGAATACAAAGAGAGAAAACCAAAACCCCTGACCGCTGGAGTCCGGCTTTCTCTCTGGTGGACACGTGGCGTCAGGGGTATGTAAGTAGCCTTGCTTTGGAGTGGAACCTAAGGGGGCATCAAGGATGCATGGCTAGCCCATTGGTCTTGGTTTGGCACCATAGGTAAATTCCTAGGGGCGGGGGAGATAGGAGCTCCTTGGTTCCGCCTCTAAGGCTTCACCAGCTACAGTGTCCTGTCTGGGCCAAAACCCTTTCACTCACTCCACGCAGGTGAGCTGCCATCCGGGGTTTTCTGTTTCCATTCTTAATTCACAAGCTTGCATCAGAGACCCCCTCCTGCCATCCCTGAACAAGGATACCAGTTTTCACGCTCCTTAGGCTGCACGACTTGAGGCAAGACTACTTTTGTTTCCTGGGACCCAACCCACACTCTTCCAGTGACCAGCCAAGGAGAATGGGTGCTGGTACTTTCCGTGTCTCACTTTCAAAACTGGTGACAACCCCTTTTGATAGGTGTGACCCAGGATAGCTTCCACGTTCCTTGGGAGAGAGTTAAAGCTCTCACATCCCCGGGTTAAGTTGTTCTCTCAGCTCACTTATAATTCGGTCATGGAGATTACTCCCTGTCCCCCAAAAAACACCCCTGGGGTGCCTGGTTCATAACCTTGGTGCTCTTGGCCTCTAGAAGGCTATAAAAACCAAAAAGCTGATCTTTTATTTATGCTTTTGTCACAGTGGCAGCAAGTTGGCAGAAACCCTTCATCTTTAGGCCTTTTTCACTCTGAGGACGTGCCCTTCTCTCACGCTGTCTTCTGTCATGGCCCAAATACTTCTGGCTCGCTCTGCTCCCCCAGGATCTCTCCCTCCCTCCACACTGGCCCCCTTAGATGATGCCTCTGCTGTCTTTATGGCTCCTCCTCTGCATCTCTCATACCAAATCCCACAGCTTTCTCAGCCAGAGGTTTCTGTGCCCCCTGCGCCATCCTCTCCCCCTTCCTCACCCACAGCAGCCTCTAATCCTTCCCTTGGTTTGGCTCCCCAGTCTCCAATTTCTCAATCTCCACACCCAAGCTGTCTGTTCTGTTGGAGGGTTCTTTGTCCCCTTCTCCTGCATCGCCATTTTCCCCACCAGTCTTGTGCGTTCCAGCATTCTAGCAAGCCACATGGTTGTCAGCAGCCATCTTGCTGCAGCTCACATGGAGGACAGCTGCCATCTTGCTGCTATGTGATAGGGCGCCACCATCTTATGGTGGGTCTCAGGGTCAATGGCCACCCCCTTGTGGCCCCTCATGTGATCAGCAGCAGCCATCCTGCTGCGGGTCACATGATGACCAGTTGCCATCTTGCGTGCCCTCACTGTGTTTTGGCAGCAGCCAGGGTGCTGTAGGTCACACAGTGACCCACCAACAGCCTGTGTTTCCTTGTCTTATGGTAACAAGTAGGCGTTTTATAGCCAATCATTGGGTAATTGCCCACACATGCCGCTCAGTGGCCATCTACTCTTCAGCCTTTTCAGCCTCAGTCTCTACTCCTGCTTAGGGAACAGGCTGGCCCCGAGGGACTAGCTATTCATGTCCCTTTTTTCCTCTTTGACCTATCTCAGATTACCCATAAATTAGGTTCCTTTTCTGGTATTCTTATTTCAAGAGATCTCTATTAATTGATCTACAGGAAGATTCACACTAGTCTATTTATTATAGTTCAAATTGACCAAATATATTTGAGTGCACTCTGATTTTATAAGATTTTCAATCTATATATCTGCTGTCTGTTTGTCCATTTGCCTGCTCTATAAACAGCTGTTTCTTTTATTTGAGCTCAACAATTTTTTCCTCCTCTTTTACATTTTCAGATCATTTAATAAAGGTTTACTTCAGTTATAGATTTTAAAAATATGCTTCCACCTAGGTTGCCAGCTGATCAAAATGATGCTAAAATTGGTTAAACAAAATCTCTTGGAGTGAGGAGACATTGGACAGGACTTCAATTGATAAACAAGAAGTGGCCACCTGGTAACTTTAACCAGCTGTTGTTCATTAATTGGAGGCCCCAATAATCTCCATACCTTATGGGAGACACCTCAACTACAGTTCATATGACTAAGACAATTCATTGTCTGATCTGATGGTCTCTTCATGCCTTCATATATAAAATTGGGATTGTTTATGATGACAAGTGTTTTCTTTCAGATCCAAACATCTGCTTTTTTTCTTATGCTCCATCCAGGAGATTCAGGTAAGACCAACATGAGGTCACCAGTCAAGTGATAATTTTTAAACAAAAATTTATGTAATGTATATGTTATACTTAGAGATGCTTAAATAGTGAGCAGTCCAAACAATGTCACAAATTTCTTCAGCGCTCAAATGTTAAAACATCCAGGGTTAATAGAAAACAATCATTCCATTTAATGTTCTGCGTTAAGCTTACTGCCTGTACTATACTGTACTGTTATCAATCTTCTGGATGTTCAACAACTAAAACTAAGAGATAATTTATAAATTTCTTTTGGATTCCTTTTGCTGGGATACATCAGATCTTGTTTCCAAAATAAGGTTATATGATGCATATTGGGGCCATAATTAATGATACTTAAGTGGCATTAAATGAAACCACATCTGATCTCTCTCCTAAATAAAAAGGTAAAATTAATAAAGCAGGCCATCCTCCAAAATCAGATGGCACTAGACATTCTAACAGCACAGGAGGTACTTACACAATTGTAAAACCTAAATGTGTGTATGACAAATGAATGACATGTCAGTTTCTAAAACCCCCTGGACCTTATCCTTATCCTCCTTATGGGAAGCCATTACTAAAGTTATAATCATAAATACTCTGTTGGTTCTATTATTTGACTCCTGCATACTTAATTGATTCTTTGCCTTTGTCTTCTTTAGACTTAAAGCTGTACACCCACCCAAGATAAGAGCCAGATGTCTTGTGATTGTGGAGGAGATAGATACCTTCCACTGTGGGCAGATCCCAAGACAAAAGGCTAAACTTGAGCCTCAAACCCCACATGGACCCCTTCTTAATGTGGTGTTTCATGTTTTCCACAACAGAGATACAAATCAAAAGGAAAAATGACAATCTAATCTTTTAGCAGTGATACTTGGAGCTCTGAAACAGGTAAGGCTGCCTAAGCCCCTTCCGGACTATGCTTCAAGTGCAACAAAAAAGGACATTGGGCAAGAGAGTTCTCCAACCCTGGCATTCCTCTGGGGCCTTGACCCTATTGCAATCTGAAGGGCCATTGGAAGAGTGACTGTCCTACCTGCCAGAGAGTGGGTAAGCCATCCTCTAACTCCTTGCCCTCACAGGAGATCTCATCACCACCAGATCCATTGCTGACTGTTGTACTCGGACATGCTGCTGAAGATTGAAAGGACTTGGGGCCCGCAATCCCCATTATGGTGTCCTTCTCAGAGCCCCAAGTCCCCCTGGAGGTCTCAGGTAAGACATTCTCTTTACTTGCGGGCATGGGGGCCATGTACAGTACTCTTCCTGAGTTTTCAGGCCACTGAATTAAGTCCTCAGTCTCTACAGTGGGTGTTGATGGCCAACCTATGCAGCCTTTACAGACAGGCCCTGCTCCATGCAGGTTCCAGACTCCCTTCTTTACCCATAGCTTCCTAACAGTTCCAACATGTCCCACACCCTTTTAGGTGAGGATCTTCTTCAAAAGCTTAACTTTCCCTTTACCTTCTCCCTCCCCACAGCTCTCTGTCCTCCAGGCACCCTCACAGTGCACCACAGAACCATCCCCTCCCCTTCCTTCTTCTCTGCTCGATCCCATAGTTTGAAATACCTCCAATCCCATCCACACTACCCATGCCACACCTATTTTAATTCATCTCAAGGATCCTTCCATTTTTCCTTGTGTTCCCAATATCCTATAGCTCCCAAATAGTTACAGGGACTTAAACCTATAATCAAGTGCCTTTCAGACAATGGTTTTCTTAAACCTACCCATTCATCCTGTAATACTCCTGTTCTCCTGATAGTCAAGCCTGATGGGTCTTATCACCTAGTGCAGGACCTGGGGGTAATCAATAATGCTATTACCCCAATCCACCCAGTGGTGCCAAACCCTTACACCATGCTCCCTCATACCCCTCCCTCCACCACTCACTTTACAGTCATAGATCTTAAAAATGCCTTTTTTATTCCTTTATGTTTATGCAGACTGACCCAGACATTCTGAGGTCTCAACAACTTACCCTGTAATCTCTAAAGTAAAATGTCTCCTCAGGGACACAAATTTCCCCTTCCTTTCCTATTCATCAATTTCACAGACACAACCCTGGTCAGGACTGGCAGATAGATTTTACACATATGCTCTGCCACAAATATCTTCTTACCTTTGTCTGTACTTTTTCAGGATGGATAAAAGCCTTTCCCACATCCTGCTGATATACTTATGAAAGCACTGTCACAGGAAATCATCCCCAGGACTACAACTAAAATGGAGTGGCCCCTACTTGGTCTTCCTCAGAACTTAAATGTTGGTCAAGGTCACTGGACTCCCATCCTGGCTTCATATCACTCAAGCTAAGTGGTGCCCTCCTAACCCTAATTCCCCTAACTCTACACATTCTGAGAGGTCATCTCATCTCCTATCTCCTGCTTCCATCTCATCAAGGCCCCATAGCCAGTTTTCAGGCTAGATCACGTTTTGTTATCCTATTTGATTCCTGATCCCTTACAGTCTATTAGTCAAACTTTTCACTATAAGTGTCTTAGTGCTCTCTGCCCTCAGCTGTTTAGTCAATCGTGAGATCCCTGTGGGCCTGGGCTCTTATCTGCCTTATAGTGACACGGCATGGCCCTCCCCACTCCTCTTATTCTTTCCAGCTCAACTCCTGGACCAGAGACAAGCCCTACCTACCTACACTTTTAACTTGTACCCTTTAAGATGGGTAAATAATCACCTCTCATAACTTCACTCCTCCCAACCCCACATTTATTTTTCAGAATTCCACCTCACCGCAGTCCTGATGGAACAGCATATTTAAATCAAAGACCCCTTTCCTTCTACTTTTCCTGGGTCCTTAAATATGATAGTGGCTGCCTCCTCATGGCACTTGTCTCTTTGTTTTTCCAATCTAAGATGCGGGCATCATTCACCAATGATGAAGTTGTCCTGGCTAAAACACCTGGCACCAGCTTCTGCATGGGCATCAACCGTCATCCCGTCAATCTTCCTGAATCACAATGTGGTGCCCCCTTTCGGCAGGAAATAGTAAAAGAGAGACGTTGCCCTTTTCCTAACTATAAAAAGACGGGAATGAGAGGTTCTTGGCCCTGGAATAAATTACTGTACGGTTATGGTGGTGGTCTAACATGGCGGAAGGCCAAAGCGGGAACATCTACTACTTCCTGCTTCTCCCTCAGCCTTCATTGCAGCTCCCCTTCCTGTTTGCACGTGAAGAAAACTCCAATCAGCTCCTTGCTGTCATCAGTGCCCGCCCTAGGCATTACCCTGGTCAGAGGTTATTGTATATCTCATACCCCACGTTTTGGCAGAGGGGACCCAGGCCATCTGTGGTCATGGACTCCTCTCCCCGTCCTTGGAATAAAGGCTATTTTTTACTTTATATTCTCTCTTTTATTGTGCCCAAAACTCTTTCAGCTCCACCTACAACTTTTGTCCTAATCAGTTTTCTGTTGCTGTAACAGAATAGCCAAGGCTGTATAATTTATAAGGAAAAGAGTTTTACTTAGCTCATGGTTCTGGAGGCTGAGACATCTAGGATCAGGCAGTTGCTTTGGGGGAGGGTTTTATGCTGCTCAAGCAGAGAGGGAAAGGGAAGGGAAAGGGAGAGCAAAAGCTCGCAAAGAAAATAAGCCAGATGGGTGGCACATGCCGATAGTCCCAGGTACTCAGGAAGCTGAGGCAAGAGGATTCTTGAGTCCATGAGTTCAAGATCAGCCTGGGTCAGTGACCCACTGAGACCAGTGAGACCCCATCTCAAGAGAAAAAGCAAAGAGACCAGACACAAGGGACTGCCCTGAGTTACTTCAGAAACAGCCCGTCTCAGTAGCTAACGCAGACACTAAGTCATCCTCAAGGCGTTAACCCATTCACAAGGGCTCTGTCCCTCGAGCCCATATGCCACACAGTAGGCCCATCCATCTGAGCTTCAGAGGGCCAGACTGAAACCATAACAACTGTCAATCCTTACAATTTTCACTGATGATTGACAGGCAAGACTGGAAGCCCTGAACCCCAAGCTGCTGACTGAGGGTGGTATATGTGAGGGAAATGTTACGTCTCAGGAAGGAAGAAGATGTAGGCCTCAAGCCCTCCATCTCAAGATGGCGGCTCCTGTGCATGGCCGGAAGCCCTGGAGGAGCCTGAAGGTGGGACTGACTGAGAGGCAGCTTGGACATCTGACAGCCTCATTCCACCTGGACTCCCACGAGGACGATTGGTGAGGGCAGTCAGTGACATCTTGTGCCAGAACAGCCAGAAGCTGGGTTCTGATGCTGCACCACAGGCCTGACCTGGGGCAGAGGAGGGGAAGGAGGAGGCTGCGGGAGCTGGGCGTGGGCAGAATGTCCGCTCTGGTGGATGAGAAGTGGCATCGAAGGACTCAGTTTTCCTGAAGCATTCTGGGGGCTCTGAGTGGCCTAAAGGCACTGGGGAGGGGGGCATCAAAAGAGATTAACTAAGAAAAATGGCTGCATTAGCTGGGTGTGGTGGCGCACAGCACTCTGGGAGACTGAGGCAGGAGGATCACCATTCTGAACCTAGGCTGGGGCAACAGAGTGATTTAGCAAGACCTTGTTTCAAAATAAAAATTGAAAGAAAGAAAAAAGAAAGACAGACAGGGGATACAGGTTAGTACAGAGGCCCTGGGTTCAATCCCAGTTTTGGGAAAAAAACAAAGCAAAACAAAACAAAAAGCACCAAAGGAAACAGGCAAGAGTGATTTTATTCAAGACTCTTGCAACAGGTGAGTAAACCTGATTTTATGCCACTGAAACCAGAGGCTGGAGGGGCTTAAAGCACTGGGGGCCCAGGTGGGAAAGAACTTGGGAAAGCTGAGGCAAACAAAGAAATATATATTTCTTTTGCTGGCTTGAAGATTGAACCCAGGGCCTTTGCACTGACTGAGCCAGACCCTCAGCTCTTATTTTGAGACTGAGTCTTGCTGAGTTTCTAACTTGGCCAGCCTGTTTTCAAACTTCTGATCCTCTTACCCCAGCCTGGCAGAGTGCTGGTTTTTATTATGGAAATTATGTCCTGAAATGTGTGAAAACAATTCAAGGGATATATAACGAATTTCATTTAATATGGTTGAATTAGTAACATAAGCATTTAGATATAAACTTAAAATATCACTTCACCTAAACTGTGCAAATGCTAAAATGTCAGTGGTAGTCACGAAAATGGCATAGGAAAGTGGCCAAAAATACTTAACCATATTCCAGAGAGATCTGAACAAACCTCATTTCAACCAACTAAGAGCTAGTAAGAGCTATCCAAGTTAAAAATCCAAGCTTATTTTGAAAGCATGGAGATCTGAAGTACTCTAGACAAGCTATGTACTTTTTTTTTGGTACCGGGGATTGAACTCACGACCTTGCACTTGTCAGGCAGGCTCTTAGGTCACTGAGCTAAATCCCCAGCCGCAGCTATGTACTTTTAAATACAGAAAAAAGATACAACTCCTGCGGTACTGTATACATACCCGGGAGGTGATTTTGTCCTCACAGGATTTGTGTCCACACCCAGAAACATGTTGGTCATTAAATGAGGGTGGCTTCCATGTGACCCCAGGCACAGAGGTCAAAGACTCCATAAAACACAGAATGTTCAGGAAAATTCTCTCCACAACCAAGAATGACCTGACCCCAAACAGCAGTAGTATTGTAGGCTGAGAAACTCCATTTGAAATGGTCTAAAATATGCTCCAATATAGCATGCCAACCAGAAAGATTTGCTGCTGCTAAGTTATAGACTACTGTACGCTGGTTGCCATGTTATTTGCACAATAATAGCAAGTAATCCAGAAGCTGGGATGGATGTGGTGCTTCCTGGAAGGTAAAGGGAGTGGCTTTAGAGTCCCTCCCTATTCTGACAGGCCTGAGTTTAAGTTGTTAACTGTAAAAACAGCGATAGCAATGCTCATCTCTCAGAACTGTCGTGAGGGCTATTAAACAAGAAAATATTTCTAAATCCAACGCACCCGAGTTGTCGAGAAGCCACCCCATCGCCTCCTTGCCCATGAAAAAAATGCCTTCTACCAAGCCGATCCCTGGCGCCCAAATGTTTGGGAACCCCCACTCTAAAGGCACTTTTGTCTTGGGACAGAAGCGCAGTTGCGCGCTGCAGCTGGCCGCAGTGACAAGCTGTCGAGTAAGTGCTGGAAGAAAAGCGAGGTCAAGAATCAAACTCCGGGAAGCATCTTGTCCGGATTCATTCAGGCGGACCCTTGGCCTGCTGCCCGCCTGACCCCAAAATCTCGGATTCTAGCTTGTGCTAGCAGGATCTTCTCCGGTGTGATGCCGATTTTGGTCACTAGATGGCACTACAGCAGTGTTTGCGCAAAGACTCGGGGAGAAGAAAGGATCCTATTTTCAGGCAGCTTTGACGCAAGATTTTTCATACCTCAGACTTTATAGTGGTTGTTGGCCGAGGGTCTCTGTGTGGTGTTGGAGGGGCCTCGAATGCTATTTTCTAAGTCTCAGAGTTTCATTCACGCACAATCCCTTATACTAGCTGCAATTTTTTATGGGTTTGGGATTCCATCCCTTTTCATGGGACGTGGGGCCGGACATGGGCTTTGCCTGGGCATAGGTATACGTCTCACTACATTGCCCAGGCTGGGCTTAAATTTGTGATCCTCCTGCCTCAGCCTCTCAGAGTGCTGGAAATGCCACCATGCCCGGCTCGGGTGGTGGCATTTCAAAAGCTGCCCGAGGATGGACAGAGAGTCTGGTGCCTGTCTGCCCCTTGGGGAGGCCTGATGGGAAAGGTTAGGCCACATCCCGCGGTTCCAGGAGGAGGACCCCGGGGATTCTACGTGGAGAGAAAGCAGAACAGGCTGTGGGGGACAATCCCAGGTGGTACCACAGACTATGTGGAAACAGTTCATCCAAGGAGGTGTCATAGGTAATCATCTTTGGCCCAGGTGTGGAAAAATGAACACCAGAACCCAGAAAACTGGATGCAAAAAGTGCGGGGCAGAATCAGCCACCAGGACAAAATGCAGAAGGACAGCTTCCTGCAGGGCACAGCCGAGCCACCTTGGGGCCCGTCCGAGGCTCGAGGTGGCCTCGCAGACCCTCTTTTGGCCTCTCGCCCCCTCCCCAACCGAGGCATCCAATGTGGGAGCCGGCTGCGAAGTCCAGGAAGTCAGCTGAGGTCTGAGCTGAGCAACAAGTGCGGGCCGACAGGTTGAAAAGAGGTAAGGCCTTTGCGCGGTGCCTGGCACCCGAGACACTTTGGCCGTCACTGCTCTCATTCTGCATCGCTGCTCGGCGGCTGTGCGTGGCTGTTGGTGGCTGCAGCTGCACACATCTGCAAACTGCCGCATGCTGGCGCTGCTTGCAGGTTTCTGCTCTGAGAGCCCCGCCAAGCTCATGGCCAGAGCTCCATCTCTGCAGCTTCCCAACACGTCTCCGGGCTCCTCCGGGCTCCATGTGTAGGATTAAGGAAGTCTGTGGACCCGGACGGGGAGAAGAATGGCTGAGTCCCTTTATTTCCTTTCATCCACGGTGAAATTTAGCGCTTCTTTTCATTACATTAAAAAAAATCAATCTTTCAATCACTGCAGGTGAAAAATCACCCCTTCTCTGTCATCGATAGAAACCACCAGTGTTTTAAAGTCAAAGCAGCCGTGATGCAGAAGTCTAGTGAGGGCTGCGCATGCAGACTGCGTTGCGGCTTCTTTAGGGGGTGGAGTAAAAAGTGCGCAGAGATCTGTCACAACTTTGTGCGATTTTAAGTGATCCATGTGCCTATTTTATGCATTTCTAAGATGCTTTTGCTAAGAAGCGGTCTGCAGGCTTCAACAGACTACTCAAAGAGGTCGGGGCATTTAGAAGCTTTAAAAAAATCCTTGTAAACTGCCAACTCCCCTGAGTCCGGGTCAGGCCTCCCGACCCCTTCCAGAGGCAGCGAGGACGGGGAAGGCAGCCGCCAGCAGGGGGCGCCCGCGCCTCGCTCTAAGCGGCCTCCGCGCCTCCCGGCGGACTCAGCTCCAGCCCAGGCCGGAGAGCGCTGGCCCCCGCCCCCTCCTGCACGTCCATCCCGTCCCGGCAGCCACCTCTCCCTAGGGTGCTGAGAGGGGGACTTGGAGGGCGGGGCTCAGCGCTGGGCCCGCACTGCGCCATCGTCCTTAGCCCCGACCCAGCGTGGGCAACCTGGCCTCTCCAGGGTGGCTGGACATGGGTGGGCGCCCCGAGGCCAAGGATGCCAGCCTCCGCCAAGGGGCCCAGAGCAGCAGAGCTGACTCCTTGCGTGTCTTTCTTCTCTTTGATCTCTTTCTTTTATTATTTATTTATATTTTTAGTTTTGTTTTTT